TTATTTATTTATTTATTTATTTATTATTTATTTATTTATTTATTTATTTATTTATTTGATTTTTATCCACACTTTATAAACAATTCAAGGTACCCAACATACATAATACTCCTTCCTTCTCCTATTTTCCCCATAAAAGCAATTATATAATTGCTGATAAAACTAGAATAGTTTTTTTCCTGGTGGAGGAGGTTGTAGTAGTATTAGGCTTTATTTTTTTTGCTTCAGTGTTAGTAGATAAAACATTGGAAAATCTGAGAAATTTTAAAGAAAACTATAAAACTATTAGTTGCTATAAAATTAATGGGCACATAGCAAAAAAAAAAAACCAATGTAGAAGAATTACCATAGCTTCTGCTAAATTTAATTGGGTAGTAAAAAATAGCAATAGCAATAGTATTTAGACTTATATAACACTTCACAGTGCTTTTACAGTCCTCTCTAAGTGGTTTACAGAGTCAGCATTTTGCCCCCAACAATTTGGGTCCTCATTTTATCCACCTCAGAAAGATGGAAGGCTGAGTCAACCTTGCTAATTTCTTGGAAATATGAAGCACGCTCTTGAAGTGTGCTTGCATGGTTGGACTTTCAAAAGGCTTTTGGAAAGCACTCTGATTAAAAAAAATAGTATCATGAAATAAGAGGAGAGATCCTCTTATAGGCAGCTAGTTAAATAAGAGAAAGCAATAAATAACTATTGAACAATTATTAAAATGTGGATTGTGGTGAATATTTTCAAAGATTGAATCAAGAGGTGTGTAATTTATTCCTAGTTAATTATACAGTCTGATTTCATGTTTTTCTACCTAATTAATAATTGTTATTAACAAGGATCTGGAGGAATTTAGTTTATCTTAATGTGTATTTTGATTAATGCAGTTGGTTTAAATGGATGTTTTAATACATTTTGCCTGGACAGTGTCTGTAAACAGTGTTGTCTCTTGTGGCCTAGAATGTAAGCTTCTCTGTTGCACCTGGACTCTAGACAGCATTCTTCCTTCTCCCCCTCCCCCACCCTGAGATCTGCATTACCACTATCTTGGTTTCATTCAAATAGAATCTTAAAACATGCGTTATCCTGAAACATTGGGTAAGATTGGGGGCTGAGTCCCTTATGGGTATGCAGTATGGTTGAGAAAATATTTTTGTTATTTTTAAATGTTTACTATTTTCTGCCTTATTGTTCTTAATTTGATTTTAATACTGTACACCACAGTTATTTTGTAATTAAGTAGCTGTAAACATGTGATAAATAAATAAGATATCCTTGTATTTCATTGCACAGCACCAACTAATTCTGGGCGCAGAATTAAGGCAACTATCTGGCTGCTTATTTCCCTTGCAGGAAGAATTTTGCTAACTGTTTGTTTTCACTCTTTATAGGATGCGTCAGGATGAAACGCCACAGGCATCTAAGCAGCAGTGACAGTTCAGACAATGAAAGTAAATAAAGTGATCTAATCTTCCTTTGATCTGTAACTCTTCCTGTGGTTTCTTTTTTTGGTTTGAGGGCAAACTGTTATACTTTTTCTTCAGCTATAAAGGGAATTGCATTTTTTGTTCAATTTCATTTCCTCTTGTATGCTATGGTATTTAGTAATATCAGAGATCAAAACAAAATTAGAAACACTACAAAGTGAAGTTAAATGTAACTATTAAATACAGAGGCTTCTTGAGAGCCTTTGTAGAATGTAAAAAGCTGCATAATTCTAACGTATTTTCTAGTATTTTCAAGCTTCTCTTTTCCAAAGGAGATTTGCTGCTTTACTCACTCCTATATGTGGAAATGTTTGGTTATAGCTTGTAGATCCCCCCCCCACCTTGCAAATTTAAAATGACTATAAATAAAAGTTAGATTCTAGTTGACACTATATATCAATTCCAGTTCTTTTATATATGTAATCAATTGATCAGTTTCTCTTTTTAAGCAGAGAGTGTAGCTCTTCCTCTGCTCCTCTTTTTGTCACTTTGCTATTATGGCTGCAGTGGCACAGCTGTTGGAAAAAATGCTGGAAATTCCCAAACATCAGCTGCTAAAATTCATACAGTATGCTGGACTTGCAGTTTTAGAAATCCTCTGGCATTCTTGCATTCCTTCTTTTTAAATAATATTTTTAATTGAAGTTTAAAAATATAAAGATAAAAAACTAATGCAGGTTAAGAAAAATATTAATTGCCTTCATGTATATAGGGATCAAAATAGAATCAAAGTGGGTAACTACTTTTGAAGTAGACAGATTATTTCCTTTCACTAGCCATTTACCTCTTGAATCTATAACAAAATAAGGATTTAGGGCATCTTCTTCCTAATTGTTTATCTGCTTCCTAACAATGGAAATGGTTATGATTGCAGTAGACAACATTGTTAGAACATGGTGGGTATTTCCTATAATTTTAGGAAATTTAAGTATATGTTAGTCTAATTTATATTTGACAGTAACACAGGTTTTTTTGTAGTCTAATTTATTTGAAAATTTGAACTCACTTCGGACAATGAACTGTAGTGTAGTTCTGGCAAAGTACCTCTGTTTGAAATTGAGGTTTGATGCACCAATCAAGACTTCGTTTATTATAATTAGCTTTCTGAAGCTGGTCGATGACTCATTTCTAATTTGTGGGATGCTCAAGCCTCTTGGCAGTCAATTGAGACATAAGCCAAAAAATGTAAAAAGGCTGAACTGTGCTCTCTGGCTCTTCTTCTTGAGGATGTTTTTTTCCTTGCTCTGCTCCTCTCTGAGTACAAGGAAGAGGCAGGCCCTTAATTTCCAAATCTGAAGGCATATAAACATACCTTGCCAAAGCTGAACAGAATGTTCGGTTTACAGAATGAAAAGTATAAATGCTAAAAATAATTAATATGGAACCCTTGCCCCTTACACATAGTTGTAACAAAAAAAATTAATATGGGACCCTTGCCCCTCACATATATTTGCAAAAAATAAACAACATCATCCCTCACGAACATACTTTTAGCAAAAAAAAAAAAATCACAAATCTCATGTAAGAATAAACCTTTAAAATGCAGACAAATGCAGATTCCGTTAAAATATCCAGAAACACAAATGTCACCTTTCCCCCATTTCATAAAAAGAAATTATGCACATATTGCTCTCATCTAAAATATATATTTCTGCAAAAATTACATTTGAGAAAATTTCCCATATAATCCAGGGCAACAAATGTATGTTGGCTTTTTCAGCAAACAAATTAATATTTTGATATGTTTAGGTTATTTAGAAATTCTTGCTTTTATACTTCTACAAAAACTAGATGAAAAATCAGAAATTGAGCAAATTTCTTTTTCTAGTCAAATTTCAATTTTCTTCCTTTTCATTCTCTTCCTTTTTCTTGATGTTCCTATAGGTCCTTCTACTTCTTTCTCCTTTTGTTCTAAATACAGAAGCAAATCAAAAACACCAACAAATGAACAAAAGAGGCCTGCTGAGGTAAGGTTTTATTTGATTTGTAGCATTTTACTAGTATACCTAAATGTTTGCTTCTTCATATCCCAATATTCTTGTTTATTATTGAATATATATTAATATGAATGAACAATCAATTTATTAGACTTATAATTTATAAAGTTTATTTCAGGATATTGACAGCTATGGCAAACTAAATTAAAGACATTGATTTATAGCTGCAAAAAAACATCATAAAATCGGGTCAGTCATGGGATCGATCCATTTTGCAATGGTTATGACTTATAACCTTAATGGACAGACTCCATTACAGTTGTAACTTGAAGACTATCTGCTAGTTGTAAAGTTTTGGGATCAATCCAAAATTCTGGTCATATGTAAATGGCAAAGCAGCAGGATAAATGCCATTGCCTTATCAAGATCAAATTTGCTAGTCTAGTAAGAATATTTTATGATGATGGCAAATCCTGTCCCATAGAAAAGCCACAAGGCTTTGGCAAGACAGCAGGACTTACCTGTAAGAGCTCGCATGTTATGGTACACTGTTCCTTTTGAGGCCTGTGCAACACCATTCCTTGTATAGCTTTTTTCCACTGTGCTTTGAATCTTGTTAGATCGATTGTTTTGGACACACATCTCCATGCATTGTGGTGGGATGGTTATTTATTTCTTGTTTAGTTTTGGTTTTTTATTCTTTTTCTGGTTGTATGCCCTTAGATTGGGTCAACTTATGAAAATGTAAATAAATATTTGTTGTATTTCTTGTACTAAAATTGTAATGCAGAGATAGTTAAAAAACACACATTAATTTTGATGCCATGCTTGCCACAAGCATAATCCTGTGGTCTTGAAGGCTTTTTTGTGTAGTACATTAGTAGATTTTTATCATTAAATTTAAAAAATAAAGTTTTAATGGATTATTTCTTTATTTCTTTATCTCTCACTATGCCTTCAGGTGTTTCGAAAAGACCTCATCAGTGCCATGAAACTGCCAGACTCTCATCATATTAACACAGATGAATATTACTTGTTTGCAGATTCATGGAAACAAGAATGGGAAAAGGGTGTGCAAGTCCCTGCAAGCCCAGAAATGATCCCCCAACCTTCTCTCAGGTATTTCTGTTAAACATGTGTGCCTTACTAAAGCACATAATTTTTGTGCTTCCATCCCAAAGTAATATTAACATTGTACTATCCTATGATGGTTATCAGCTGCAATAAATTCCATTTTGTAGAAATAAAACATGTATTGCTTCAATTTTTAATATGAAGAAAATAATAAAAAATAAATGAAGGCAGTTTTGAAATTTTAATTCAGAGGGAGTGCTGAGAAGTGCTGTCTGATAAACAGAACTGACTGCAGCAATTTATACAGTTTACTTAAGCAGGTCTTTTTTTCAATGGTTTTTAGGTCATAGAATTTCTGGTTCTTCCAAAAAAAAAAAATCTTTGGATTGTTGGCTCCCTTTCTTCCAAACACCTTGTTACTGCATGTGGCCTATGGATGTCTAAAAAATCATCTTTGTAACCAGTTTGCTCTACAGTCATATCCAAAATATCTCTGAATGCTAGTCTTAATTTCATTTCATCTGGGCATGCCAGGGTAGTTCTATTTTGGCAGATGACATTTTAACAGACTAACAATTCTAGATGTTAGGACATACCAACACCAGATCATTATCCTTTATTTTATGTATTTTATTATTTCAGAGCTGAACTAATGTTTTTGTATATATTCAATGGACATAATTCAAGCCAGATTTTTAGGAAGTACTTTTTTCATGGTTATTCAGCTTTGATTTTGCTTATGTTACGTTTTTGTTTAAGCATACTATTGACATTCAACTAGCACCATTACTGCTGTTGGTTGAATGAACCAACAAATTGTTAGTGATCAAATAAATTAAACATAAGGTAATCCTTTGGTAAATAACAATATTATGAAAAATTTAAAAGTGTGAACATGCTGTCTTTTGACCTAAGGGTCCTAAAAATGTAATACCTTTCATTGTTACTTGATTTTCAAAAATTCTTCCACCAGAGGATTTGTATCTCACTGTAATGTTTTGCTGCTTAGAATTGTAGCAGAAAAAGTAAAGCAAGTACTTTATACACGACCCAGAAAGTACATCCGTTGTTCAAGCCAAGAGTCTGCTGAACCTGGCTACATCAACATTTTAGAATTGGCAGAATCAATGTGTCGATATGACTTGGATGACATGGACATCATCTGGCTTCAGGAAGTAAATGAGGAACTTGCTGAAATGGGTGAGAAAGCAAAATAATAATTTGTTCAACATTTGATAATGTAACAAATGTTCTGAAATAAAATATACATACACTGATATTTGGTTCTATCATTCTTTCCCAGTATTATAGGTTTGTAAAGTTTTAAAGAATACTGGATAACTTCTGATCTGTTGAGTCATCCTTTCAGAGATATTTCCTTACCAGATTACTCAATGCCTTCAATAATAATAGAACTTCTGTTGTACTGCCTCATTGGAAAAGTTGGGATACGTTTGGAGATATATCTGTCTTGAAAATAGTCCACGTTGAATTGTTTAGCACATCCAAACAACACAAGAAATGTTTTATGACATTTTGTATCGTGTCATAAACTGTTGTATGATAATTTTTAGAACATAACATATTTTATAAAATTTGCCAGATTTCAGTTCCACAGGCTTTATGGGTCCCAGATTTTTGACACATTCTGTAAGTTAGCCCATATGAAGTACCTTGGTTGAAAACATTTTATCCATTTCACCCAGTTAATAGTTGCAGAAATGATAGTTTAGTAGTATATAGGTCTAGAATTTCTTTCATACATAAAGTTGTTAACATGAACTGTAAAATTAGGGTATCTTCTACTAATAATATATCATCTAGCTTGCAATACTCAGTGTACCATTTTTAATGGTAATTTTTACCATTTGGCAGGATATGGGCAACTTGATGAAAATACCATGGAGAAAATGGTAGAAGTCCTGGAACGTCACTGTCATGAGAATATGAACCATGCCATTGAAACAGAAGAAGGGCTTGGTATAGAATATGATGAAGATGTAATCTGTGATGTATGCCGATCTCCTGATAGTGAAGATGGAAATGATATGGTGTTTTGTGATAAATGTAACATCTGTGTGCATCAGGTTTGTTAGGTTTAATTCTTTGCCTATATAAATGCAACATTCAGCCTTTTTTTTTAGAATAAGGATTTTAAAGTGGTTTTTGGAAATATGCTAAGGAAACATGAGATATTGTTATGTAGTCAGATGACCATTACGTATAATACAGTGGTACAGTATAAGCTCTGTTGAATCAGTAGCTTTGGGCAGTTAGTGGTAACACTAGCAGAATGTTGTATCAGTAATATGTAGAAAATCTTACTAACAAAAATGTACTCTGATGAAATATGCCATCAGGAAATATCTCTGATAGAGGACAAAAAAATTACTAGCAATAAAAAGAGAAAAATCTAGGAATCCAAAATTTATCATAGAAAATATAAACATTATTATGAAGCATAGAAAATATGAACAACAGCATGAAGAAAATGAAGGAAAATTTACTTGATGAAAATTGTCACAAAAGAAGGGATGTTATGACAAACAAAATTTTAGAACTAGGGGAAGAGTCACATTTTTTAAAAACAAAAACAAAAAACAAGTGAAAATATTCAAAAATGTACCAGGAGAAGTCAGGAGAAAAATTTGAAGTACAAAGAAAAATTGATGTAGTGAAACAAAATATTGGAAGCTAAATATATGCATTAAAAATAAATGAAATTACGTATACACAAACTATGTGAATATATTACATACCTGGAAATACACCTTGAACAACTGTTTGTATTGTACCGTATTGTGTTGTCTTTGTTTGTTTGGCTGTTTTATATAGGTTACATTTGGGATATTTTACAATAAAGTGGATAAAAGACATAATACAAACATAGAAATACATAGCAGCTGCCATTAACATAACTAGAACCAGCTCCCTCACACACCTGGGATTCCACACTCAAGACGCAAAACCAACTTTTCAGTCTTACAAAAGGCAAGCAGGGTCAGGGCTAATTTGATCTTTGAGAGAAGATGTTCCAAAAGGCAGGAACTATAGCAGAAAAGGCTTATCTGGGCCCCACTAGCTGACATTTCTCAGCTGTTGGTACCCAGAGCCTGTCCCTTGCCAGATTGGATAAGTAACCCAATCCCAAGGCATCTTTAAACTTTAAACATAACTACCAGCACCTTGACCAATATCTGTGACCACACTGGAAGCCAGTGCACTTGCAGAGCACTGGTGACATATATGTTGAATAACTGGCACCATTAACTACCCTTGCCACTGCATTCTGCTCCAAATGCTCTTCAAGGGCAGCCCCATATAAAGGATGTTGCAGTTGTCCAGCCCAGTCCCCCACTGTTACTTTACATCATGAGATTATAATTATATGAACATGGATATAGGATGTTTGACACACACACACACACACACAAATGCAAACAACTTAAAGAATAAAAAGTGTCTAATTATACTATATATTTAAAAATATTAAATATTTATTAATTAAATGTATATGCCACCTAACTCACTATAGAACGGCTCAATAAGTAATAAAATTATGATAGATACTTTACAAAATTCAACATATTATACAATACAGGAATTATTCCAGATGGGTATATAATATCTAAGTTTACTTATTCTGTCTAAAACAAACATACAAATGTAACAAATCTCTATGATAGCCTTGGTAAGTCATATTTTTAAATGGTCTTCCGAAGATAAACGAGAGGATTTTTCAGAAATGTGAAATTGTTCTGAGCATAACATAAATTGGATTCAGGAATGTATTAGATAGCAGGAATGTTCTTTTTAGCATATGAAAACCAGTAAAATTGTAGAGATATGAATGTGGGTTTTTATGTGTGTTGAGAATTGTATGAAAATGCATTTAATTTAATAGAACAAAATATATTGAAAAATACAGGATTGGATGGTAGAGACACATGCATCATTATGAATTTATATTAGAAACAAAGAGCAGTTTTTAAAATTGAAGAAAAAGAAGAAAATTGTTTCAGATATTATGTGTGGTAAGAATATGCATTGCCATTGTTGATCTTTAAATACCGTACATTAAATACAGTACAAGTTATTTTCAAAGAAGATTCAGAAGCATGACAAGAAGATACAGTAATAATTTATTCAGATACTGTTTTGTTAGTAAATATTGAGCAATGTTTGCAAATGTTAATCAAAATTTGTGGACTAAATATAAATCAGAAGACAATTAAAGTAATTATTATAAATAAAATCTCTGAACTAAGTATTACTGTACAAGAAAGCACATGTTGAGTGTACAATGTATAAAATATAAAAATGACCAAAATCCTAGCAAAAAAAAATATCTACATCCATGGTTTAGCAAAAGTATAGTTTTTGGACAAAAACATCAAATAACAAACTGTATTTATTATTGCTGACTGTTTCAGCAGGAGATGGCACTAAAGGAAATAAAAGTGTCAAAGCATTCAAATCCAGTTTTCAGTTACCTTACTAAAACTGCTGGTTTCAATCATTGGAAGTAATAATTTCATCCTACTCTGTGCACGTTATATCACTTTAGGTGCAGTCTACAGTTCAGGTCATCATACAGGGCGTGGGTGTCAAAATCGCCTCATCACGTTGCCATCACGTGACGTATCACAACATTTTTTCCCTTCATGGAGCTGGGGTGGGCATGGCCTGCGTGTGAAGCATCCGGCCTGCAGGCCGCCAGTTTGACACCCCTGATATGTAGGGGGAGGTAAAGAAGTATTAAAATTGAGTCAAATGGCTTTTCCTCATATCATTTGAAATTTACTCCTTTACTCTTAAGGCCAATTATTTTTTCTTCTGTCCTTGAAAGGATAGAAAATATGCTAATACAGAAACATCTTACTTTAATATTCCCCACAATGTAACCTTTGCTGCACCTCTGACTGGATGGTCCACTGAGTTCAAGATTCCTTCTCTGGCATATAGTGTCCTCACACTCCGCATCCTCTGTCCACCAATCACATACCAGAATGTGTGGCAGAATAATGTACAAACGTTCAGCTGTCATTTGTCCTATTTTAATATTAGTCACTCACTAAATTAGCAATGCAACTTGTAAACAGCATTACATAACTTCCAGGCCCAAGGAGAAGGGTCAAGTGGGAAGAGTCACAGAAGGAATTATCTGGAAATCAGCAGTAGAGTACTTCCATGTCTTGCTTTAGCTCTTGCCAGAAAATGAGATCTGAATAGTTGTTATTTTTTCTGGTGAATGAGGGGAGATGAGTAGAGTTCTCAACTGGATCAGATCTAAAAAGACAAGATTTTGTTCTTTTTTTAAGGGTTGGGGGGAAGTCTGAATGCATCTTCTAAGTATGTGCTTTGGGAAAGAACCCAGGATTTCTGAATAGATATGCCTGGATTTGCAATGTCTATATTGATGGGCATTCAAATCTTGAATGCAGCCAATGTAATGATCAATCTTATGCTTGTCATAGAGGAAAGAAGAATATTTCCGAATGAGTCTTAGCTGAACATATGAGATATCTGTGTTTAACTAGAGGCTGGGCAGCCATCTCTTGGAGAAGGTTTAAATTAATTCTTACATTGAATAAGGAATTAAATTTCCTGGTCTGATTCTATTAATATTTTTAAGAATTCATAAAGTTATTAAGGAAAATTATCTTCTAAAAATTATTTTCTGAAAATTATCTTCTTCTACCTCATGAACAATGAGAAAAGAACAGGATAGAAAGCAACAAGTTTTTAAATCATAGAATGATCCTTGTTAATAACACTCATGAAAAGGGATGTTCAGCTTTATTAAATTTATGCTTGGCCAAGAGTTCCCCCTACTGGATAAAAATAGTACATTCCTGATGCAACTATCTATAAACAGTCCTTTTGAGATCCTTTATTCCTAAAACCAATTAGAGTACTTTCCCAGATTATTTTAAAAATGGTGTAAACATGTAAAAAAGATCCGTAGGTGTCATAAAAAGCTCCTTTCCTAAATCAATAATACTTACAAAAATAATTGTTCTTTATATTCATAGTCTATTCCTTGTTTGTATATATTTAAATTGAAAAAAGGGCTGGTACTGAAGTTGCTACCCAAGTTTCCTTTTCTTTTGAGAAGCCACACCTGTGCCCTTGATGGATATTCTGTTTTTATCACTAAGAATAAAATAAAATGTAATTTATTAAGGAAAAGGTGATTTTTCTGAGCATTGTGTTTCTACTTTGAAAATAAGTTTGTGTAAAAATTTGCTGTGGTTAAATTGGTAAATAATGGTTAAAAGAGTAAATAAAAAGGTAAATAATATATACTTCTTTCTTATATAAAACAGTGTTTTCTTTTTTAATCTCCAGGCTTGCTATGGCATCCTAAAGGTTCCTGAGGGGAGTTGGCTTTGCCGTACTTGTGTTTTAGGTATACATCCTCAGTGTCTCTTGTGTCCAAAGAGGGGTGGAGCTATGAAAGCCACAAGAACGGGTACTAAGTGGGCACATGTGAGTTGTGCTCTCTGGATTCCAGAGGTATGATTATATTAATTACATGTTGTCTTTTTATCTACACTGTTTATATGCAAGGGGAAGATTCTGTGATACAAGAACCCTAGTTTTTGTTTTGTTTTATTTTTCATTTTTAATATTCTATAGGGCAGGAAGAAATAATTTCAGCAATTTATCAAAAGTTATTAGTGTAACTTATATAAAACTGATATAATCTTTCCAGATACAGTTAAAATTCAGCTAAGAAGTCAATATTATTGGCAATTTTTTATAAGAGCAATTCGCCGTACTTTAGTGCAATAATTACTCACTGAAAGTTTATCTAGAAAGTTCCAGTTTTGAGCCATTCTTTGATGCATTTTCATCAAAGCCTGCAATCTCCTGAATGCTCTATTTGTACCTATATTAATATTTAAACCTTCTCCTAGAACAAAATTCTCCCAGGTTAACTTTATTTAAGATTTTTTAAACCCCAATTGTTCAGCTTCCCTTTAATAAAAGTAAATCTTCCCTCTCTTTTTGAATATTTTCTGCTTTATTATGATGGCCACCTCTATAGTTCTTTCTGGAAGAAATTTCCTTCCAATATATTTATCATAATTCTTCTGATATATATTTCCTATAAGACAACTTCAATTAAATTTAAGGATTTTTAGTATTTATTAATTCTATTTTTTATTGTAGTTTATCCCCTATCATTTAATGAAACCATCCATTATACTTCTAGTATTCTTGTTTTCTTTATCATTCCCACAAAACAGATTACCAACAATGAAACCACAACTATCCTACTCTGACTAGCTATCCTTTTCGTCCTCTATTCTTTCACAGCTGCCCCCAATCTCCTCTTCCACTTACTCCCCCACCCTCACTATTCAGAAGAGAATAGAGTTCACAGTTGATGAATTAGATCCTTTAACTCAGGGATGTCAAACTTGCGTCGTCACAGCAGCATCACGTGATGTATGGGGACTTTTTTCCCCTTCGCTAAACTGGGAGTGGGCATGACACATCCGGCCCACGAACCATGAGTTTGACAGCCCTGTTTAACTAGTTAAGGTGAGTGCTATGTTGAGCTCTCAACTCTCACCCCTTTCTTCCCAACTCATCTTTATTTTAATTTCCAAATAATACTTTGCTAGCCTCTCTATTTTATCTTAAATATTTGCCAAGTATTATAAACAATATCAAATATTTTTGTTGCTATCAGGAACCAATTTATGAGTGATATAAACTGAATTATAGATACCCTTACAAGTATAACTCTTGATTTTTGCATTTGATTGGACTTAGAGAGAATATGGGACATTTTCCTCTTTCTCCATCATTTTACTACTAGTTCAGGGTGCTGACTCAGCTGTCTTCAATTCATAGCTGTACTTCCTTTGCCATTTTGAGGATTACCCTTCTTCAACATCTTTTTTATTATTAATCTGCCCAATTAGTTGGATATTAGTTAAAAGTAATTGACAGATATCAGCAAAAAAACTGGGTCAGGATGAGTCCAGTTGGTTCACCTTGAAGTCTTCTCCAGCTTAGTCTTTTGTTGGACACATGTGATGCTCAAAACCTCAACTTCCTTTATAACCAATGGTACACCTAGTGAACCATAAATTTGAAAATTTGCAGTGCAGGTCATATCATGATACAAATTCCATCCTTGGATACTTTGAAGTTTGATGCTAGTATGGCAATTGCGCTATTTGTATCATGATTATTATTCCATAGGTTTCCTGTTGTGACTGCTTATATTAGATAGATAGATAGATAGATAGATAGATAGATAGATAGATAGATAGATAGATAGATAGATAGATGATAGATAAATCACTTCTATTCAGAGCAAAATGTTATAGTATTTTATTATATTTTTACTGTATTAGCTATCATAGGAACATTATCAGAAATTTAATTAATTTCATTTTAACTTATTAGCGTTACTACTGTGGTTTAAATGTTTTCTTTGTTTTGCAAAATGCTAAAGTAGAAAAATAAAGTAGTTTTGGTTGTTTTGCATTGCAGGTAAGCATTGCTTGTCCAGAAAGGATGGAACCGATTACAAAAGTGTCTCACATCCCCCCAAGTAGATGGGCTTTAGTTTGCAGTTTATGCAAAGTGAAAACTGGTGCTTGTATCCAAGTATGTACTGATTTCTATGCTGTATTGTTTGAACTTAAAAAATTGAAATGGTTCACTAGCTAAGCATAGTTCATTCTGATTGGTATCAAATATCTTCCTCATAATATGAGGAAAGAATACAAGTTTAGCAGCCATTTTGTTCCCTGATAAGCAGCTTTTAGAAATCTTTGGTCTTCAGATAAAGAATGTAGACAATAAACAAGATAGTTAGGCATTTGTAGGATTGTGGAAGGTTTCCAATTTGATGTGGGATGGAGGAGAAATTTGGCATTTCCATGGGTGCATATGTTTCACTGTTGCTACATGCTTTTTTCTTGTATCTCTGTGTCATATACAGAAAAACATGTAACTTCTTTAAAGAGCTTAAAAGTTCTGTTCAAATCTTGAATTGTTGCTAACTGTGTGCCAGGAAGGGGTGAATTGTTTAGAGTGATCTAGTTTTGGGGAAGACGATTTAGGAGGAATTCCAGAAGTGGTCAAAGGTTTGCCCAAGGGGGTGGGGGAGAGATACAAGTGCATTGCTGGAAGCAGTGTTTCTTCAGTTTTTTTCTGAAATAGCCCCTATAATCATAAGAGCTTTATTAAGGGGAGTTTCAGTGTGTTGATGCTTGATTTGTTTTCATTCAACAGTGCTCTGTGAAGAGCTGTATCACTGCCTTTCATGTCACATGTGCCTTTGAGCATAGCTTAGAAATGAAAACAATCCTGGATGATGGTGATGAAGTCAAGTTCAAGTCATATTGTCTAAAGCATAGCAAAACCAAGCAAAATTTGATGTCTGATACAGAGAACCTCAAGAACACAGTAGACCAGAAACAATCCGAGAGGGAGAAAACCAGTTTGCGTGCCCAGAAACTTCAGGAACTGGAGGAAGAGTTCTACTCACTTGTGAGAATAGATGATGTTGCAGCAGAACTGGGGCTTCCTAAGCTCACTGTGGACTTGACTTTTAATTACTGGAAATTAAAAAGGAAGAGTAACTTTAATAAACCATTATTTCCTCCCAAGGAGGATGAAGAAAATGGCTTGGTTCAGCCAAAAGAAGATAGCATTCATACTCGAATGAGAATGTTTATGCATTTAAGACAGGATTTAGAGAGGGTAAGTAATTGATGCTGTTATAAATGAAGCTGTTGCAATAAGAAAAAAAATCTGTACTGGAGAATGAGGGATAGAGTAACAATTAAATGGAAGATACTATATCATTAATGAGATTGTTATAGACTTCCCTTTTAACTCTGGTTTTAGAAACTACCTCCAATAAACAGGAAAGGGACTAACCTGGTTCTCCGACATGATGGCCACTGCTAATCTTTTCATTGTGGACATTTAAAGTATCCAAAAGAGTAATATGTGAATGGAGAGTAAAATGGGATTATAGAATTATAAAGGGGAATATTTTGAAAAATTGGAGTATTTTAAAGAGATCATAAAGAAAGTGCTCTGGTGAACATAAAACTATACAACATTAGTTGCAAGATAAGATGTAAAGATTATAAAGGAAACTTATCTTCCTGAGATCCTTATAGTTCTCTGTAACCAGATGGGTGTCCACTGTCATGGCACGACAAAACCGCGCTTGACTAAGCCACGCCCGATTAAACCGCGTCGCTGACGTCATCAACAGGGCGACAACAGCGAGCGCGGAGAAAGAAGGGCGCTTTAAATAGCGCTTTGAAAGCAAGCCGATTCAACTTAAGGTAAGGGTTAGCTTTAGGGTTAGGTTTAGGGTTAGGTTAAGGGTTAGGGTTAGGTTTAGGGTTAGGTTAAGGGTTAGGGTTAGGTTTAGGGTTAGGTTAAGGGTTAGGTTTAGGGTTAGGTTTAGGATTAGGATTAGGTTTAAGAGGTTTAGGTTTAGGGGTTAATTTTAGGTTTAGCGTTTACAGCGTGCTTCTGTCTCCGCGCTGTTGTCGCCCTGTTGATGATGTCAGCTATGCAGTTTCGTCGAACGCGGTTTTGTGGTGGAACCGTCCACTGTCAGTTGAAGCAGTTTTTTACGCATGGTTAGTTACAACTGGAGTTCTAAAAAGAATTGTTTTAAGCCAAGATAATTCAATATAATTTGAATCTTTAGATTTCATTTTTATAAATAATTTTAAGTATACAGATAGAAATAAACTTTTGTCAAGGAATTTATTCTTAATGGTTTTTAAAAAAAACGTTTTGCAAGCTTTTTCAGGTGCTTGATTTTGTGTTTTCTGTAGGTAAGGAATCTTTGCTACATGGTAAGCAGAAGAGAAAAAATAAAACTTTCTCATAGCAAAGCACATGAACAGGTCTTCAATTTACAAGTCCAACTTATTAATCAGGAAATTGCTGCAGGTAATGAATGCATAACAGATTTATTTTCTATACCTTAGTATCTCTCAACCTTTAAAATCGTATTTTCACTGGATCGTAAAAATTCTTTTTCACAAGAATAAGTTATCTAATAATTATATGCTATAGTCAATTTATGCAATTGTAATATATTCACTGTACAAATAACTGGATAATTATAGCATATACTAGAATGTGGAAATAGACATCTGGTGAAGCTTGCATTGCTTTAGAAAGAATCTGTATAGGATTCCATGTCTGTATATGGAATCATCCCTTTTCTCTGAATCTTACCTTGCTCTTCTACTGTTTTTCCCAGGCTTAGCCCTAATTATTTCTTTAAATTAATATTTTTATTCAAAGCTTATCTAAATCTGTATTCTCCTTTTGCAAAATTACCCCCAGAATCATTGTATTAAATTGACTTTGACACTCACATTGGCATCAATCCTTTTAGCCTTTCAGCTTTTAAGCTAGAACTTAACAGAAAGAAAGCAGTTGACTGTTACCTTTGGATTTTTCTTTTGCTTGTAATGCAAGCCATAACTAAAGACAGTGGGAGAGTAAAGAAAAAAAGAATGTTGTGCTGGCAGTTGTAGTAGTTAACCATCAGAAAAAGGTTGGTAGTCTGTGAGCCCCCTAACAGCCCCTAGCAGCAGTGCACCATCAGGTTCAGACAGTATAATAATTTGCTTTTATTTGATTGTACCGTATAGTTTTTCCCATTTAAAAATATGCAGTCTAGATACCAACAGGCATCTACGCTCAATTGTACAAGCAGTACATAAGTATTTGAGTTTTTTTTAATAACATTTTTTGTTCTGGATTACATTTGTGTTCTCAAAACAAAGCAGTTTTAATACTTGCAAATAAACAGTATTTGGAGAGGAAAAAGACCATGATATCACTCCTTGATATCCCTGAGGCTCTCTTACACCACCCACTCTGACTGGACCCATTCAAGCAGTCTGCCCTTGGAGACAGATGGATCCAAAAAGGTGCTAGGAGGAACTGAGGGATATCCTTAAGAATTTGCTGTGCAGTGCTGCCGAAGCCTTAGTAATGGCTTGGAACCATAAGTCCACTGAGGCTCTGGACAAGATTGCACCTGTGACCACTCTTGACCCTTTGCATCCATCATTTCCTATAGTTCATGGAGGAACTGAGGATTCTGAAATGGGTTAAGAGATGCCTAGAGTGCCACTAGAGAAAAACAAATGATGACTCTAGCTAGACATTAGAGAATTAGTAAGACCTATCTCATAAAAATGACAAAACAATGCTAGTTCTCTACTCTTATTGCTTCTACAATGCCCCCACCTAGGCCAGGTGGGTTTCAATTATCATCTTCAGGGCTATGCAGAAGCCCTGTATAAAATTGCTTAGATTTGTTTCCATGCATAGTGCAGGTCCTTATGAGATGCCTAGGGAGATATCTTGCTCTGTAATTTGAGAACAGTTGGTCCTGTTGGATTTAAGGAAGTGTGGCTGTACTGTCAGTGCAACTACCTGACAGTTAGATCCTTGTCCCTCATGGCGGGTGAAAGCTCCAGAATGATGACCAGCAGGTGGGTTTATTCAGTGATAAATTCCTCACTGCAGGAAGGGACATTCCTGGGACCTTTTAAGGAAGCCTTGGTTTGTCCTCCTTAAAAAACCATCATTCAACCCCACTTATCTGGACAACTGTTTTCTAGTTTCCCATCTTCACTTTTTAGAGAAGATGGTAAAGGAAGAGGTTGCTTGGCAGTTTCAGAGAGTCCTGGATGAAAGAGATTTTCTGAACCCATTTCAGTCAAGGCTGTGAAACAGAGACAGATTTGGTTGCCCTTATGGACAATCTGTGCGATGAGCAAGATGGCGCTAGTGCAATTATTCTTGTTATCCTTGACCTCTCAGTGGCTTTCAATACCTTCTACCATGGTCTCCTTTTGGGCCAGCTGTGCAAGTTGAGGCTAGACAAGGCCAGACCAATTGGTGTTGATAGGGAATGAGAGATCCACCCCCATCTTTCATCTGGATTACTCCAATGCATTCTGTATGGAACTACCCTTGAAATCCATTCTGAAGCTGAAGCTTGTTCAGTGGGGCAGGCTTTGGGGCCCTTAGAATGCCCATTTTACACCTCTGTTCATTGGCTATTGGTCTGGTTCTGGATGCAGTTCAAGGTGTCGGTTATGACCTTCAAAACGTCCTTAATGGCATAAGTCCAGGCTACCTGATGAACCATCTCATCCCACTAAGACAAGCCTGCCCCATTTGTGCTGGCAGAGGACCTACTGTAGATCCCGTCGGTCAATGAACTCCTGACTATCGGGATCCAATAGAGCAGCCTTCTCTGCCATAGTACCCACCATTAGGAACTCCATATCCTCCAAGGTGCTTCTACTCTCCTATCCTTCCATAAGAGCCTGAAGACCTGGCTCTGCTGATAGGCTTAGGAGTACAATTGGGAGGGGGGGTTACTGAGGTGGAGATGGCTACCAGATTGATTGCAAATCCCACCCCTTGCTTCTTGCTTCCTTGCCTGCCCATCTTTTATTTTCATACGATCTGTTCTCATTGTTTCCTTTTTCATTGTTTATTGTATTGTTCCATTACTTTGCTACTGTTATGTTTACACTTTTAATTTCTATGTTTTTATTGTTGTAGGCCACTCAGAGTAGCCCTACAGCAAGATAGGCAGCAAATAAATTTAACAAATAATTTAAAAAACCTGTAATTTACATTTTGAATATGTGTGGTTGCTACTGTATATGTAACAGTTTCATAAAGGATACATTATACAAGTTTTCATGATAAAAGTTGGGTCTTAAATCTCTCTCTTACCTTTATCTCTTTCAGGTCATTCCTTAACAAGTGCACTAGACAATACATTGTTCTACCCTCCTCCTCGAATCACTTTAAAATTAAAAATGCCAAAATCATTGGGCGATTGCAAAAGCAACTTAAAAACTGGTACCAAAACATTTTCTCCTGATAACAATGTCATGATTTATAATAAAAAAGGTATTTCACTATCCAAGGAAACGTTTATTTCAAATATGAAGTCCTTCTCAAGATTTCAGCATGAAAACAGAAGCAATGGCTTACTGGAAGGCATTACAAAAGCTAGAATTGTAACAAAGGATTCTGGGTCTGAGAACTTATCTGAACTTTTCCATCCTGGGCAATCATCTGGCAAACCACTGGCACTTCAAGCTACATTGCATGGACAGTCTTCTGTTGGGAATGGGAGAATTCAACACAATTCTAAATTAGAAAAATCTAATGGCTTAATGAGCAGAGTTAGAGATATCACTCAGCGAGACAGCTCCAGCCAAACAACATACGAACAACAGTCTTTACTCTCAGCCCACCAGGCTAGCCAGAGTACCTTCAGAAAATCCACCATGGAACACTTTAGCAGGTCGTTCAAAGAAGCAACCAACAGTTTGGTGAGGACTACCGAAGATCTCAGGTGTGAAAAACCATCAAGAAGATTTTCAGTAAGAGAGCGTCCGTGGGGCAAGCAGACTTTTGAATATCAAATGGGGAGTGCCCCCTATCAAGAAAATGATGGGTATTGCCCTGATCTGGAACTCAGTGATTCTGAAGCAGAGAGTGAAGAGAATAAAGGGCAGATCAGACTGAGGAAAAGCAGCTCAGGCCGAGAAAGCCCAAATAAAGACTTCAGTAGAGATTGTCAAAATAGAAAAAAAAGAAACTTAATTTCTCATAGTTCAGTGCAAAGGTGATAGAAATCCCTGAAAATGAAAATAGCTCAACTTTGTGGGTATCTGAGTAATGATTATAAACCTTGAGAAATCTCCAAGTTAGAGTGCAGGGTCCACAAGCAATTGACAATATTTCTCCAAACTACAATGGTTTGCTCTTTTGAGGAGATTGCTCCCTCCCCTCCCCCAACTATTTTTTTTTTGGGGGGGGGGACACTCAAAAAGCTCTTTCATCATCCTTTGACAATCTACAGTGACTAGATAATTCTTGTTGCAGCTGCAATAGATTCTCATTTCATGAAAACACTTCAAGCTCAGCTTTTCCAAGAATTGTCACATTTGAAATAATGTCTGCTGAAGTGTTTTCCTGAATTGAGTCATGTGACTACTAGAAAAAAAATCATGTTCTCAGTCAATATTAGAACAAATTATATGAGCCTCTCCCTAGAAGTAGGACCGATTTTAACTTAGTGGGGCTTACTTTCAAATAAACATTATATATCATCAGAATATATCATATATCCTCCTAATCTATTGAGGAAAGTTTATAAACTCCACAGTTAATGCTGCCAAACACACACTGACCTCTAGATTTTTCCCAATAGTAAATGTCTAAAATTTGTGTTCCTTTTCACTATTATAAATTGCTGTATTCTGTAAATACCTTTTAACTTCTAGTATTTTTAAATTGTTTTTAATCCCTTTGTACATAGTAACTTGTTGTGCATTGCACCTGTAAAATAGGTTATGCAGCCAGCCAATAAAAATGGCTGGTGTGTGGATAATGTTTAACACTAGAAGAACTTAATTTCTTTAACATATTCAGGCAATCACCGGTGATGCCAAATTTTCCCATATATTCTTAAAACTTGATTCCCTTCCCAACATGTTAGTATTTTTTGTAAGCTAACAAATATGTTCAGATTTCTGAGCCAAAATGTTTAAAATCAGTTTATGCAAACGTCTCTGTACATTGAATTCTAGGTTTAAATAATCAAAAATCATAAAGTATTTTTGATTCCCAAACATCTTCATAGCTAATTTTGTTTTAAACTAACATTGTAATATTATAAAATCCACACACATAACATCATTACATAATTTATTCTTTTGTTCATTGCTACATACATTGCTGCACTCTGATTTTTAATCAGAATAATTTTTTTATTTTTGGAGCAATCACATATTTAGTTTGGTAATGTAATGCCATAATGTGAAACAACAATAATTGCTGTACATTTGGAATTCAATAACAACAAATGAGGACCTTGATGTCCTTGAAAGCCTTAATACTATTCAATTTACTTAGGAAGAATAAATTGACTCATGAAAGTTATATAATAAATTTTGGCAGGTCTGTACTTTTTTGTTTTAGACATATTTAAAATTGCTTTGTCAGCTTTTGTATCTATTTTTTGTCTTTAAAAAGTTGTATTTTTAAGGCATTTCCTTTGGTGTAAATATGCAATTGTATTTTGTTTTAAGTTTGAGAAAAGGTAGCCTTTGTGTTTTGAGCCATTCAGAATGGTGCTAGAAAATTCATTTCTCTTCATACTGGTTCTGACTAAATTGGGATACATTTTTTTCAGCAGTCAGGGGGAGAAAACATTACAATTCATGACTCATGCTTGAGAAAAAGAAAGAAATGGTGCTTCTGCAAGCTACAACTGTTTTGCAAATTTTAGGTTGATGGTTTAAAATAAATCTCATCAGGCAATAGTGTTTTTCCTAATACTTTTATATGATTTTCATAGATACATGAAGGACCTTTTAACTTCATAATTTCAAGTATCTTCTCCAAAATCTAATTGCTAGTTTTCACAAAATAGTCAGTAGCTAACTGCAGTGTTACCTTTTAATTTGTTTTCTTGTTTTGACACATATGCATACCCAAATTCAGTTTTTTTTAAAAAAATGGACTATCTTTTTCAGACATCTCCTTTTTACAATACTTTTTTCATTAAATTATGAAACTGCTAACCTTACTTTTTCATTGTGATCATTTAGAGACTGTAATACTTAGGAAGACTGCATTTAGTTCTTTAGTTAATTCATGAAGGACTAGTAACATTCCTCCAAAAAAAAAGCACATGGGCAACCCCAGGTGTGTGTAAGTGGCCTTGAGGATCTTAAAGAACCTGCGCATAATCCAGTATAGTCTCCATATAAAGATTTAATAATGTATGACTCTTAATTTTTATAGGACTAAAAATCAGATTAAATAAATATAAGTAAGTTTGTATGAGTTTTAATGAATTCTGTGCATTTGATTAATTTGTTCCTTTATTAAATCAGTATGGGGATCAAACAAAAGTTCTGAATCAAACATTTTAGCAATATCTTATCCTAGAAAAGACATTTATTTATGGCATTTATTATATTGATAAATGACTAAAAGCGGTGAATATACTTAATATTCCTTCCTCATCCTGTTTGCTGCATAACAAGAACCCTGTGAGGTGGCTTGGATGAGAGAGAAAGACAGACCAAAACTCTCTCAGTTGACTTTCATACCTCAGATGAGACTAGAATTCACAGACTCCTAGTTTCTGGCCTGGTGCCTTAACTACTAGACCAAAGGCATCCCATGTTATATAAGACAAGGGGAGTAGGAATGCCTCTTATGACAGTCTTCGATAACTTTTTTTTCAGAAAAACATGCAACCTTTTGCCTAGTTTAGAAACAGTACTTTTTATTTGCTTGCTTTTGCACAATTAACATTGGAATGTTGCAGCACTACTTGCTACTATTTCTTGCAATTTGTTTTAAGATCATGGCATTATTGTTTCTTTTAGGAAATGTGTAACATACATTTTTGGCTTAACAAAGGGATCCCCAGATAGCTTCTAAATTTAGAGTAAGGTAAATATTTGATTAAAAAAAGAAGAATATATTAAATATAAAGTAGGTCAGTAATAATGGCCTAAGAAACGACTGATTAAAAAAACACATTAAAAGTATATATTAAATAAGAATGGAGTGCCACAGGGGTTCATTTTCTCTCTCCTCTTCAACATATACTGTACATGAAATTGCTGAGCGAGATTGTCTGCTGATTTGGGATTTGGTGTCATCAGTACACTGATGATATCCAATTATATCTTTTAACTGGCCTCGCCAAATTGATTGTTGAGGTGTTGTGGAGACTGTTGGTTTGGATGGAAAGGAACTATCTGACTTGATCCAAGTAGCTGTGGGTGTATGGATCACCAAGATCTGGGATATTCCATCTTTGACTTTGAATGGTATATCATTTACCCATTCAAGAGTGGTGTGCAATTTGGATATCTTCCTAGATTCAGCTCCTGCTTGATGAGCAGGTGGCAGCTTTAGCCAGAAGGTTCTTTGCACACCTTGATCTAATGGGCCAGTTGTGCCCTTTCCTAGATTGGGGACCCTTTAGATATTCATGACCTGGTCACTTCACAGCTTTACTGCAAAGTACTCCACAAATGATGGCCTTGAATGCCACCTCAAAGCTTCAACTGGTCCAGAATGCAGTGGCACGGACAATGATGGCCATTTATTATTTATTTATTATTATTTATTATTTATTAGTTTTGTATGCCACCCACTCTCGGAAGACTCAGGGCGGCTTACAATAAAAAGGGAAGGGGGATATAAAAATAAAAACAACAGTTTAAAATTGCGACAACATTCATAACTTAGAATGGGGCTGGATAATTCAACAGCCCCAGGCCTGCCAGAACAGCCAGGTCTTAGTCGCTTTGTGGAAGGCCAGAAGGGTAGTAAGGGTCCGGATCTCAACGGGGAGATCGTTCCATGGCATACTGAGGCATGGCCGATCGATCGGCCATGCCTCAGTATGCCATGGAACATCTCTCCTTCATGAGCTGCACTGGTTTCCAATTCACTTCTGAATATGATTCAAGGTGCTGGTTGCTACCTATAAAGCTCTACATGGCTTCTGGACTGGTTTATTGAAGGACTACCTGTCTTCCATAGTACCTGCCTGGCTGATTCAATCTATCAGGGTTGGCACAGTTCAGTTTCTCTGATTAAAACAATGCAATCTATTGAGGTCACAGAAGCACATCTTCTCTGTAGCAGTACTCTGGAATTAGGTTGCTCCAGATTTGAATGACTCCCACACTGTTTGGTGTTTTCAAAGAGTCTTAAAAACTTGGATTTTTGTCCAGGCAAAGTATGATTTAAGCCCTCTTTCTTCTTTTCCTTTGGTCCCATCTGAATCTGTTATTTCTGCCATTTTTGTTCCTTTTTATTTTGTGTTGTTTTCTTGTTTTTAAATGTTTTTCATAATTTATAAACCACTCTGAGTCTTTGCAAATCAGGAAGTATATAAATAACAATAATAATGTACTGCTCTCCTAAATTTGACAGAAAGAGTAGGCGATATAATTCTAACAAAATATTACCACCTGTACCTTCCTGCAGACTTTTAAAGATGCATTACAGGGCACAGAGGCTTGGTGGTTAAATGCAGCACACAACAAATTCAGTACAGTAGGAAGTGGCCTTTCAAACCATTTGATTCCAACCCCTGCTTGGACTCAGATGCATTATCCTAATTTAAATAAAGTATGTGAAATAGGTTCTGTTAACACTATGCAACCCAAGGATCTGAAATAGTTTTTAAGATTTATGCATAGTTATGCACATAACTGGGGCATCAAAAGCTACATACAGCAGGAGGGGCAGGGCTGACATCCGGATGAGATGACATGCAATCTTGTAGCTACAAGATTGCTGTTGATATCTCTGCTGCTGGACGGTTCTTTTGAACCTAAACTGTCCTGAAGATACAGTGATAGAGAGGGGCATATTCTGTTGATCTCAGGGATATCACAAAGTCCCTTTGTGAGTAGCCGTTTCTTGCCGGCAACAGCGAGGCAGCCATATAGCTGCTCAAATCAGGACAGCTCCTAAACAGAAGAGAAACAGAAGAGAAGCGTGTCATGTTGGTGAGATTTTTTCCCCGTATTAACATCTGAGAAAACACCCTAAAAGGCTAAGTTAAAGTTGAAGACAGAAAGTAATTAAGCAGCGAGATTTGACCAAAAAGTCAAATGGATTGTTTTTATTTTCTTCCTTTTTAAAGTGGGAATTTTTGTTGACTTACAATGCCCTTTTTCATTTTTTTCTTTTTGCAAACATCTGGAACCAATTGGATTAGGGCTCATAAGAGCCTGAAGTCTCCTACTTTTTCCTCCTATTTCTGTTTTTCTCTCCATTTTTATTTTATTTTAGCATCATTGTGGATTACAAATACCCTCCACATAAATGGATTAAGGAATAGAAGAACCCAAAAATTTTGTACTTCCCAGCCAATAAAGCTCATTAACTTGGTGGAAATGAGTAAAAAGATAACGACCACCGGCTCTTCAATACCAACTTCCTCCTCTTCACCATCCGGAGGGCAAAGATCAATCCAGACAATGTTGCAGCAGGAAAAAGACAAAGAAGGGACACTACAAATGATTTTGCAAGGGATCCAAAAGATAGAATTAAGAACCGAAAATATTGAAAAGCGAACAGAAAAAACAGATGAGAAAGTTGAGAACATCTACCAAATGACGATGAAATTTGAAGATAGACTCCAGAAAATTGAAGAAAAAGATGAACAAAGAGACAAGAAAATTGGAGATATTGATATCGATTAAGTGTGGTCGAAAAAGAGAAAAGTGGAATATTAGGATGGGAGATTGACAGATCAGAATTCTACCTCAGATTCCAAAACATAGAACAAGAAAAGGAAGAGAACTTGGCAGAGATGATAGAAATTCTCGCAGGCGCCTTGGAGATAACCAAAGAGAAGATGATGGATGGCATAGACGAGGTGTATCAAGTCTTTACAAGATATGCAATGAAAAACAAGCTNCCCGGAGTCCTTCGGGAGTGGGCGGCATACAAAACTAATAAACAACAAACAACAACAGCATCTGCCAGTGGCTGCCACTGCCCGATTGGCCTTTGCACACACAAAGTAAACTGATAGTGGGATGGTTGGGGCCTCTTTCCTGCCCCTTATTCCCAGGGCAACTTA